GAATATTAACTAAAGGTGTTTTCTGAGTTTCTTTAGTAAATTAACTGGCTGAAAAACAAAGGAAGACAAGTTTGAGTTTTAACAGGAGAAAAAATCATTAGTATAAAAGTGACTGACACTGTACACACCTGCTGTTAACGTGTGTTTCATAGAAACTAGCAACAACAACAGAAGTGGTTTGCTCTGACTTGAACGCGTCATCTGTGTTATTTTGATTTCTTGTTCTTGCTTCCTGCCCCATCATCAGAAATGATGTTCGTATTTATTTGGACATGTGAAGTGAGATCCGATCACAAGTCAAGTGGGGTCACATTTGAATGTCAGGTGTGAACGCACACCAACACTGAGGTGTTGGTACTAACGGTTGATGCGGTGCATGTTGAGCACAGCGTACGACCTCTTCCTGGCCTCCTGGATGTAAATCTTCATGAACTCTCGTCCAAACATCTCTCTGTCATCTTCATCATCGTCTTCATCATCCTCAGCCTTCATCTTCCTGCATGGCAGGATCACGTCCAGAGTCAGAGGGTTGTCCCTGAAGTTCACAAACCTGCTCAGAAACAAAGACAAACAGAGATGACCGAGAGGTTCATTATGATTTGAACTGAACCAGAAGGAAAACGACAGAAATACTGTAAATATGAATATTACTCCATCTGAGGTTGGACACACTGGCTTGAGGTTGGACAGTATGGCCTGTGGTTGAACGTGTTTGTGGACAGACTGACCTGAGGTTGGACATGTCATCCATCAGAGGGGGGATGTCTCTCAGTCTGTTGCTGCTGAGGACCAGCGTGTCCAGACTGGACATTCTACTGATGTTTTCTGGGAGTTTCTCGATCTCGTTCCTCTGGAGCCACATCGTGTGCAGCTTCTCCATCCTGAACACAGGCATATCTCACTGTTGATTGGCTGATGTCTGAAGGGGCGGGGCTAAGAAGGTTTGTCCCACCTGTGTATGTCTTCAGGTAAGTACTGCAGTTGGTTTCCACCCATATCGAGCCACTCGAGCGCCGGCAGTCCAATGACACAGTCTGGGATGGAGGTGAAGAGGTTCATGGACAGGTCCAGGTGCTGCAGCTTCTTCAGGTTCCTGAACTACAGAGAACAGAACAGACCTTAGGTCAGCTGGATCAGAACCTGGTCCACTGTCAGGAGCAGAGTTTGGAACCTCAGCTAATCTGAAATCTTCATTAAGGTTAAACCTTTGTTTGTTTCTGTGTCTGTGAATCTGAGTCTGAAACTGGTTTACGTTAGTGCTGGTTCCATAAAGGCTGGTTCAGGTTTTGAGTCATACCTGGTCTGGCAGATGATCCACATCCCGGTTCATGGAAAGTTCCAGTTTCTCCAGATTTTCACAGAAGCTCAGCTCTTCGGGTACAAAGTGAATTCTGTTGTAGCTCAGCAGCAGCTCTCGAAGTCGGATCAGCTTCCCTGAGACCAGAACCAGGACACCAGAACAATCAACACACTGACACCTGTGGCTGAACCATAGCATCAGCTATGACGACTGGGGGGGGACTGACCGATTTGTTTGGGGATCTCTGTGATCCCATTACGGGACAGATCAAGAACCAGAAGACTCTGGAAGCTGGAAATGAAGTGAGGGATCTTCTGCAGTCCAGTCCGGTGGATCTGCCACTCCTGGACCTGACTGAGCTGGACCAGACAGTCTGGCAAAGACTAGAAGATAAGAATTATGAGAAACACATCAGTTATCTGCAGTCCTAGGGCCAGAACAGATAAATCCAGCATCTGTACTGTGTGCTGGTACCTTCCACTCCTCCTGCTCGATTCGGAGAATCAGTCGTCCGTCTTCTGTCTGCAGCTTTTGTTTGAGTCGAGCCAGAACCGCCCGGTCCTCCCAAACACCCACGAGCAAACTGGACCA